AGCCCTCGGCGTTGCCCCCGCACCTCGCTCAGCCAGTGAGCGGCCGGTCTGTATGTGGGATCCGAACCCTCAGCGGGAGCGCCGCCGCACTTCCCAAGCGGCGCACTATAGCAGTGCGCCACCGGGCCGGCCCCTATGCTTTTCTTTTTGAAATAAAAGAATAGAAAGTAACAGTTCATTGCACACAGTAAGGCCAATTATTATTTAGTGAAACTTTTGTTCTAATAAGACATAATATATAATGCATGATATTAACATATAATCCATGTGCTATATATCTCATACAGTGGTTTTTATATGTTTAATAATACATACTAGGTATATAGAATACATATATATCTATATATACATGTAGTTTTTCTTCATGAAATGGAATACAATAAAATAGCAGATTGCACTGCACATATTAAGGGTAATTAGTAAAACTTTCATTACAATGATATACAGTATATATATATATATATACACACACACACACACACAACATATAATAATGTTACATATTACATAAAAAATATATTTTATATCCTATATGTACTATGTCACATAATGCATAAACTATACAGTTTTATAATACATATATGGAATTTTGAATTATTGTATAAATGTACATGGTGGATTATATAAACTCAATTCTTTCTTTTAAAAGATGACCAGTAAGGGGATCTTAACCCTTGACTTGGTGTTGTCAGCACCACGCTCTCCCAAGTGAGCTAACCGGTCATCCCTATATAGGGATCTGAACCCGTGGCCTTGGTGTTATCAGCACTACACTCGCCCAAGTGAGCCACGGGTCGGCCCCTAAATTTCTTATTGTGGCTCTTTGTCATAGATTGAGATGGAAACTTGGATCTGCATGCAGTAGGGTGACTGCTGGGTGCTCCAGGGCAGCTCCTGTGGGGAGTCAGGGGAAGGACACAGCAGGAAGAAAAGATGAAGCAAGATCCAGCTTAGATGAAGGTCTCAGTGATCCTATGTGGGGCTCTGGAGCAGGAATGACCCTCCAGAGTTGTGCCAGTTGAGGCAAGGGGCAGACCTTTGTTTGCCTGGCCCCCTTACCCATCCCTCTCCCTTCACTCTATTGTAGGGGTAGGTAAACTTTTTGTAAAGGGCCAGATAATAACTATTTTCAGCTTTGAGAGCCCTATGATCTCTGTTGCAAATACTCAGCTCTATCACCATAGTGCAAAGTAGCCCCAGAAAATATGTAATTGGACAAGCAGGGCTGTGTTCCAGTAAATACTGTGCTCTAGCCAACTGAGCTAACCAGCTAGCCCCACTAAATCTGTATTTACAAAGACAGGCAGCAGGGCCAGCCTGATTTGGCCCAAGGGCCTTAGTCAGCTAACCCCTGCTCTATTTTGATAGCCAGAGACTCTTGCTGTTGCAGTAACAGTCCAACCCCACACCTGTCTTAGGGCTTTCACAGATACTAATGACCCTTTCTCTTTCCCTTGCAGCTGCCTTCAGGAGTCATCTCAAATGTGGCTCCTCCCTGCCCACCTGATTTAAATCACCATCCCCATTAGTCCTGACCTCTCCTGCCTTATTTCTTCTTGGCTCTCCTCACCCCCTGACACTGCAATGGCTCTTTACTCTTCACTGTCAGTCTCCTGCACTAGGATGTCAGCTCCATGAAGGCAGTGTCCTGTCACATTCCTAGCTCATTCCCAGCTACATGAATGGGGCAGGCGCGCAGTAGATGTCCATAAATGTGCCTCACAAGCAGGTGGATGATGCCCACCCTGATTCTCCTCTGGACGTGCTTTTCCTCTCCTTCTGTCCATGCCAATTCCAGCCCCAAGCCAGGCCACTCAGCATCAAAGTGACAGCCCTGTGGGCCAACGGATCAGATGGAGGCTTATGTGAAGTTCATTTTCTCCTGGGTGGCTTTCAGCCATCTTGGCCCCCTCCAGGCAAGGGCCTGCCCGACAAGGAACCAACACAGGTGACAACAAGGCCTGCCGAGAGATGGGAGAGGCAGAACCCTCAGGACACCATCTGAGGGGTTTGGGTGAGCCAGCATGAATGGTTTTCTGCTCTTTATACCCTCAGGTCTTGTCACTGAGGAGGGGAGAAGTTTGGATTAAGGCCAGCCCCTTCTTCTGAAATAGCCGCAGGTCAGGGTAACAATGGAAAAGAAATGTTTGTGCATCTGTACCCCCACTGGACTGTGAGCCCCTTGAGGGTAGGGTTGGGGCTGTGTCAGTCACTGCTATGACCCCAGCTATAGGGAAAGTGAAGCAAAATCGTCAGGGCCCCTCAGATATTCAGAATCTGGCCAAGCATTTGATGTAAATATGCATGTGCGCCCAGGTGTCCCTTGGTTATTGTCTAATGTAATTGCACATGTGCACCCAGGTGTCCTGGGTTATGGACTTAAGTATAAAGGACAAGTGTCTCTGATCCACAGAGGCCACTACTGCTGCCGGAGGCTGTTGCTGCCAGTGCCCCCGGGATGCCCCAAGGCCACCGCTACTGCTGCTGCTGCTGCTGAGGACTGAGCTCGTGTCATCTGCCAATGACTCCCAGGATCTTTCCCAATTACCTAGCGTTGACCTGTGTGTGAGGGGTCTGGTGACACAGCCAGGCATGTGAGGGGTCTGGTGACCCAGTCGGTACAATGGGTTTGAAGGTTGACCTGTGTGTGAGGGATCTGGTGACACAGCCAGGCATGTGAGGGGTCTGGTGACCCAGTCGGTACAATGGGTTTGAAGGGTCTGAGCCCTAGCTCTGACAATACAAATGATAACTTATTATAACTAAAATAATGAAACGTTTTGGCTTTAGTTATGAATTGCTTTAACAATACAGTATGGCAGGAGTCTGACAATAGCCCCACCAGACAATTAGCATAGCTATTGCTGTAACCACACACTAGCACGTCACAGAACAAGGTAGGGCACGAAGTGGGCAACTTGGTGAGTTTTTTTGAATGAAAGAATAAATGAAGGACATCTTTTTTAAAGTAAATAGGTAATTTTTAATTAGTTTTTTGGAAGCTGGCTGGGATCGAACCCTGGACCTTGGTGTTATCAGCACCACGCTCTAACCAAGTGAACTGGCCAGCCCAGGGATTTTTTTAAATATGAAAAAAGAATGCGTCAACTTAAAGACAACCAGTTTCATTTATAAATTTATTCTAACCCTTCTCCTCAAATCACAAAATATACAAAATTTTAGCTAGTAGGAAACCAGAGCAATGAACCATCATCTGGCCTCATGCATTTTGAGTTCTTTCTACTTCCACACACCCTGATCCCACCCCCCACCCCCAACCACAGTGGGTGAGGCTGATGGCTGCTGCCCACAAGGACCAGCCACTTGTAAGGACATATCAAGGCTGAGTTTGACGTGTCCAAGAAGTGAGAGCAGCGCTTCAGCAGCGTCAGGACGGCGCTGGGGTCGGGAGCTGGGGCTCTGGCCTGTCTTCACATCCTACCTTTTTTTCCCCCATCTGTGTGATCTTGAGCAGGTAACTTTCCCTCTCTATCCCTCAGTTTCCTCATCAACAAAATGGAGAAAATAATGTGGGGATTATACAAAGCACTTGAACTGTGCCTCACGCCTAACCAGTTTAATAAACTTGATGTGTTATGATAATGACTACTATTCATTGACATGATGGGGGTGCAGTCACAGCCCCTGGCCTCCAAAGAGATGTCAGTGCCAGAGTGGACCTCCTGAGTGGTAAGCACAGAAACCATGTACTACCCTGGCTCCATCACCCCTTCATGCAGTGGTATCTGTCCCTTGCCTTCTTTCCCTAATCATTTAACCCATTAGGTCACTCCCAGTTTTAAAGACACTCCCACCCAAGACTCATCTCCCCAGTTCCCTCTACACTAGCTCTTCCCCTTCTTCTAGAAGGAATTAAGATGCTGTTTCAGAACCCATTTCTTGGTTTCCTATTTGGGTAGGTCTTGTGTCCAGGTCATTTTTATCCCTCTGGGGAGGTGAGGGGAGAAATGAAGGAAAGCCCCACCCCTCCCAACTTCATCTACAGCTTCATGGAAGTGGGCTCCAGTGCAATGAATCTGCCCTGTTTACTAAATGCTAAGATCTCGGGTGTGATCTGAGTTTGTCCTGATAGGGGATGGAGGGTCCCTACTCTCAATGCTGCCTCCAGGATGCCTTGGGCCTCCTGTAGAGCTCCCTTCCCCGCCCGCCCGCCCCCCAAGTCATCCCCTTCCCTCATCTTCCTCCTCACCCTGCATCAGTGCCCTCAGACATCCTGCAGCTAGGGTAACCTGGGCTCCCTCTCTGTCTCCCTCCCTGGACCCCTCACTCTACCCCTACTACTACTTTACCACCCTGAGCAGCCAGTCCCTCACTGGCTGTGGCACCTTGAGCAAGACCCTTTGCATCCCCTGAGCCTCAGTTTCTCCATCCAGGAAAGAACTCTTGGCCTCCTCCCCACCAGAACCCTCCCAGATTCTCTAATTTTAATGAGCTTTGTACCCATTTTGGAGATCCATATTATGGTTCTCAAATACATCCTTAAACTGCCTTCCTCACCCCTTTAATTAGGAAACAGCTACAGCTGAAAACACAGAATGTAGACTGGTGGGGCCCACAGCCCTCCCCGCTTCATTGGTGAATCCTGGAAGAGAAACCAAGTAGTGATGGTTCCTGGACTTTTCCTCTCACTCAGGTAGGGAAGGGCAAATGGCCCACGGGGTTGGCAGGAATCCCAGCATACTCTTGAGGTGGGATGGTGTAGTGGGTTGAGTGGCGGACCCAAAAAGACGTTCACGTCTTAATCCCCAGAGTCTGAATGTGAGCTTGTTTGGGAAAAGGGAAAAGATGTAAGGGTCTTAAGGTGAGATCATGCTAAATTTAGGGTGGGCCTAAAAACAAGTGTTCTCATAAGACAGAGAAGAGAAGGATGAGGCTACCATGTGAAGATGGAGGCAGAGCCTTGGCTGGAATCACCAGAAGCTGGAAGAGGGAGCATGTCCCTGCCAACACCTTGATTTCAGATTTCTGGCCTCCAGAACTGTGAGAGAATATATTCCTGTTGTTTTAAGCTATCAAGTCTGTGGTGATTTGTTATGGAGATCCCAGGAAATTAATAAAGGAGGTAAGACCAACTGATGGCCTAGTCCAATGGGAAGGAGGTGGCACTTGTGGCTATGGAGGCAGAGGGTAGTGCTACATGAAGGGGGGACTAGTGAGGGGAAGAGGGCAAGAGCACACAGATCAATAGATTTGGATGGAAGATGGGGGATATGACAATCTAATCCATGGGCCAGCAGGCCCCCCAGAAATGCCACTAAAAGGATGATGGGGAAGGTAGGAAAGGACACACCACATAGTACAAGGTCCAGGGACTTTGAGGACAGGTAAATAGCTGGTTGAAGCTGAAAGACATGTTGGATTGGCCCTAATTAGGATCAAATTTAACACTACAGAAGGGGAGTCTGGGGCACACTGCCAGATAAGACCCTGCACAGCCATTCCGGTGGGCTGTGCCACAGACTAAAAGAGGAAGGGAGTGCTGTCAGAATATTATACTTGGGGTCTCAGGGGAAGGTACCTCAGATCAGGTTAAGGGAGAAGATATAAGGATTTGGTAGATCACTTGCAGCCCATGATCCTTTTCCCCGCCTCAGATAAAGCAGTGATGCTCAGCTAAAGCTGACCTTAGAAGGTGAGGGGAGAAGAAGCCATTGAAAGAAACTGCATTCCCTTACAATGGTCCAGGTAAATGGGGGATGGGGTAACATAATGACAAATTGATTCAGCTCAGGCCCAGGTTCCATTTTGTCTTTTGCCAGAAGAGTACACATGATGTCCTGCTGGCCAGGACCTTGTAGGTCGGCGTGGTTTGCAGGAGGAGAGGGGTGGGGTGAGGGATGATGGAGAGGGCTGTATTGGAACATTTCACCTGCTGGGGGGTGGTCCGAGAGGTGGTTACCATTGGTCTTTCAGTAGGGGGTAACCAAATGCCAAGTTGCATCAGCATCCCGGTGGTTTCCGCTGGGCCAGCACTGGCAGAGGTTAGGTGGGGAGAAGCCCACATCAGGGCACACATATGACCACGTCCAAGTTCAGGCTTCGGCAGCCTCCTATTTCTCGAACGCAGCCACTGCCTGGGACGCGGACGCTGTCTGGGACGTGGACACTGCCTGGGGTTCCGGCTGCTGGTTCTGAGCGCAGAGCTGGACGCGCATCTCTTGCAGCTGCGCCCGCAGCTCCTCCAGGGCGCCCTGTGGTGGCGCGGTCTGCACCTGCGCCTGCAGCGCCTCCAGTGCCAGCGCCAGGTGGCCCACTTCGTCCTGCAGAGCGTTCCAAGCGGCGCGCTGCTCCTCCTCCTTGTGGCGCTGCTGCACCTGGTGGCGCCAGTACTCCAGCACCAGGCAGCCGCCGCCCACGATGAAGATGGTGGCTTCGCCCAGCAGCTCCGCGCCCAGCTCAGCAGCCGCCTCCTCGTTCAGCGGCTTTATGACTGTGCCCCGGAAGCCCATGATGCGCATCTTGGTCCGCATCTCCACCCAGTGGTACACTGTAGGGGAAGAGAGGGGTCAGGCCGCGCTCTGGGAGCCCCCGGCAAACCCCACCCCTTCGCGCTTCGGCGTCTCCGTCGGAGCAACGCGGACGAAGCAGCCAGAGTAGCTGCGGGGTTTGCGGGAGAGCTTTAAACAAGACCTGCGCCTGGCCTCACCCAAGGTAATGCAGTCACCTGGCCTGGGGTGACCGAGGGTATCTCTTAAAAGCGGCAGATTCTGGCGGGCAGCTGGCGATGAGAAACACTGCCTCGGAGAGGCGGTCCTTAGACTGGGAGTTCAGCCTCTAGAGGGTCACCAGAAGCTTCCAGAGCTCAACCTTCTCCGAAGGTGTAAAGGTTCAATTGCCAGATGCTTAGCTACCTCTGCTCTCCCTAAATCGCGGTGCTGCGGTCCTCTACCCTGGCACTGTCACCACCACCACCACCCCCTTCCCAGAAGAAATACCAACTCCCTTTCTTTCCTTATCTTCCCAAAATGCAGAGGTAGGGCTGCGGTGGAGGGCGACCTCCTAGCTCCAAATACAGGACAGGTGAAATGTGGAAGTCCATGCTAAGTGCCTCTAAGCACAGGGTAACCGATCCTTTCTGCAAGTATGGTGGCTCCAATACTCGATTTTCACCAACCACTGCGGTGGAGGGCGACCTCCTAGCTCCAAATACAGGACAGGTGAAATGTGGAAGTCCATGCTAAGTGCCTCTGAGCACAGGGTAACCGATCCTTTCTGCAAGTATGGTGGCTCCAATACTCGATTTTCACCAACCCTGAAGGTGGAGCTAGGAGTTGTGAGCTCCTCACGGTGAGGTTTTGGGCACATACGTTGGGAGCAGCTCAAGAGTTGAGTGGTGCTACTGAACAAAAACTTGCTTGCCTAGCTGCTTCTTTACTAAGGAAGGTTCTCAGCCCTTCAGCCTTTAAAACCAACCTAAAACCCATGCTAAACCCTAACTCACTACTGAAATAATTAATATTAATCTAAGGGTACAGGCAATTATAGGGGGGAAACCCTGTCTAGCTCCTTTGGAAATTCATTTCCAATATATCATTTTACTTTTTTTTTTTTTTCCTTTTTTGTCTTTTTTCGTGTCCGGCAATGGATCGCAACCCTCAGTGTTGTGCCCGTACCGGACCGGGACCAGCAACGGGATCGCAACCCTCGGTGTTGCGCCCACACCTTGCTCAGCCAGTGAGCGGGAACCGGTCTGTATGTGGGATCCGAACCCTCGGCGGGAGCGCCGCTGCACTCCCAAGCGGCGCACTGTATCAGTGCGCCACCGGGCCGGCCCAGCACTGTGTTTCTTGTATGTGCCATCTCTCCAAGGCTAAACCCACACGGCTCTCCAAGGTCATGAG